GCACAACAATGTCATTGGTACCTAGAATATTTTGTAGTTACCTCTCTTGGTAGCCCGATAGGCCTTATGCTTTGACAAGAATGAAGCAACGACTTTGATGTACTCAAGATTAGTCACGAGAATTGAAGAGGCTGTTTATATTACCGTTGCTTACCTCTTGATTAACATCGTGTCTTTCATGCAATTGCAAGCCAGAGTATGCTATTGTTACAGTAGTTCAGTATGTTTTGAAATTTACTTCGAAATACGATTAGTAGTTGTCCAGATACTGCAAGGTTATTGGCATTTACTGGAATTCATTGAACAGTAGTTGTGTTAGGGCCTAGACGCCACCCAATTTTTTCAATCTGCATTGTGTGGTGAGAAGAATTTATCATTAATATCCTTGAGATGCCCTAGAAACATGGAGTAGCCTGTCTTAACAGAGATGCCGATGCATTTCATTTGAAGAAATGCGAATTTTAACTCCCCATATGATGTATTCCGCAGGCTTTGAAGAAAACAATAGTTAGTGAGATCAAATCAAATCAAATCAAATCACTGAGTTTTAATTTTACATGCTTCTTTTATAATTTTGAGACTATGACTTCCTATGGTAATCATATCTATATATATAGAGGTTGTGTCCTGCTCTGAGTTTTGCTTATTTGGCTTATTCTTTATAATTAGAGGGATCTGCTCTTTCTCTTTCCATCTATATGTGTCATCTTCTTTTGGTTCTTGGCTGGTAAGGATAACTGAGCTGTCTGCCAAGTATTTCCATCGCATGGATTATTAGTTGAATCAACACCTTGTATTAGTAGTATTTCTGTTTGTTTCAAACTAGAATATGCATGTTCTTCCATGTTTATTAATTTTAATTTTTTATGCTTTGTTACTTTTGTCTCTCCTGGTTAATAAAATCTGCAAGTGCTATTAGGTATCATGGAATAAGCAAACACCGTAGGTTCTTGAGTCATGAAGACCGCAGAGCCATCTCCTATCTCCTATTGCAGTATAATCGAGATGGGAAACTAATTGGAGGGGGTATGAAGAAGGTTGCATCAATGTATTCGGTATCCAATTCTATCATTAAACGTATTTGGCAAAAAACAAAGGTTGGGGATGGTGCATGTCATGAAAAAACAGGAAATTGTGGTCGCAAGAGAGTCGAACTTCATACTAATCAATTTCTTCAAGTTCCTTTTGCTAAGAGAATGACCTTGCGAGATCTATCTTGTGTACTGAATATAAATAAAACCTCTTTAGTTAGACTTCAAAAGAAGGGAGTTATCCAACATCACTCTAATGCCATTAAGCCATATTTAAGGGCAGAGAATAAGATTTGCTAGACTATAGTTTTTTTCATCCACGATTGAAAGTGGTTTAGTGCTAGGAGATCTAACTTTTAAAAGCATGTATAATGTAGTTCACATTGATGAGAAGTGGTTCTATATGACTAAAAAGACTGTGAACCATTACATGCTATCAATAGAAAATGATCCATTGCGTACTATGCAAAACAAAAACTTTATTGGAAAGGTCATGTTCTTGGTTGGTGTTGGCCATCCAAGGTTTGACAGTGAAGGCAATGAAACTTTCTTCGGGAAAATTGGAGTCTTTCCTTTAGTGACAAAAGAGCTAGCAAAGAGAAAAAGTGTTAATACACCTGTAGGTTCATTGATAACAAAGCCTATAACTTTAATTAGTTACCAAAAAAGTTAGTAGATAGTTTCTTATTAGATATGTTGTGCTCACCATAAAAGCAAAGTGGCCTAGAGATTAAATAGGGGAGCCGATTTATATTCAACAGGACAATGCAAGATGTCACATTGATCCAAATGACAATGAGTTTTATTGAGTTGCCATAGAACATCGATTTTGTATTAGCTCGATGAACCAACCTCCTAATACTCTTGACTTGAATATTCTAGATCTTGGCTTCTTTAATGGCATACAATCTTTAGAATACAAGGAAACACCAAAAACAACTGATAATTTGATTGCGGCAGTGATTATATCATTTGAATCATTCCCATCCATTAAGTCTAACAAAATATTAGTGACAAAGGGTTGCATCATTTTGAATCTTCAGGATAGTCTGTTGACCTATAATGAAGCATCTTGCTATTCAGAAGAAAGAGCAATTCAAGGAAAGCAGGGCGAAGACAGGGTAACAATTCAAGGAAGAGTATGGAAACCACAAGCAATGGAAATAATAGAAGGGTTAGATACTACCAAAAAACATCTGATTAGCGACAGAATTTACGGACGGAATTTTTATTTAGCGACGAAATCAAATTACGGATAGAATTAGTGACATAATTGATTACATCGCTAATTTTTTCGTCACTAATTGGATTACCGACGGAATTAGCGAGGGAATCAAATTCCGTCAGTAAATTGAAATTCCGTCGCTAATATATTTCTTTTTAAAAATTAAAATTGTATTACCACATGTCGCCACCATATAATTCCTCTGTAAAGTGACTTCTCCACGGTTTGAACCAAAGACCTCACTTGTGCACGAGCGCGACTTCACCAGTTGAGCTGCAATGAACTTACTGACTTATTATGCAAAATTAAATATATATATATAATATTCTCTTACACAAATAATTATTTATACACATATATATTATTAGAAAGTAAGAATAAACTATATGATAATTTTAATCATAACTATTTTTGTAACAAAATAATTTTTAGATATTTGTTTTACTATTTATTTTATAATGCTTTATTTTTAAAAAATTATTTTAGATATAATATTAATCTTCAATGACACTAATTTTGAATTTTAAATAGTAAATAATTTTTTCATAAATATATTTTTTAAATTTAATTCTTTTATTTAATATTTATAAGATATATAATTTAATTATATATTTATTATATTATTATATTATATTATATTAAATATTATATTTTAGCCATGGAAATTAGGGATGGAATAATTTTCTGTCTCTAATTCTGTGGCTAAATTAGCCATGGAAAAGTATTTTGTCGCAAATCGTAATTATAAAAGTTTAGCTACGGAATTAGCTACGGAATTTTCTGACGGAAAAAATTCTGTGACTAATTTTAATTATAAAAGTTTACCACGGAATTTTCTGACGAAAAAAATTCCGTGGCTAATTAGCAACGGATTAGATTCTGTCGCTAATTCCGTAGCTAATTTAGCGACGAAATTTTCATGGGTAATCTGTCAGAAATTAGCGACGAAAATTATTCTGTCACTAATTCTGTTGGTAATTAGCTGTTTTTTTTTTTGTAGTGCACATAAATTAGCTAGCTGAGTTAAAATCCAAATCCTCCCTCAATTTACCATAAGGATATAGTCATTGGGATGTGACGTCATCAGAAAAATGTACCCGCAGCGAACTTCTGGCTCATAATGATACGAGTATAGAAGGTAACTTTATAAAGGTGGGGATGGGGGGACATAACAAACCCCACATAAAAAGTGAAAACATGAGAAGCTGACTTTGTTTTCCTTTTAGAGGGAGACTGAAGAGGCACTTTGCGGTGGGATGGATGGTCATGGTGGGGTTTAACACAGGAAAAGACTTGACCAGTGACTCTCACCATGTTTCAACAAATTCAGAATATTCAAAATTTCAAACTTGGGATGCAAGCCTTCCTTTTTATTCTCTTTGTGTGTGTGTGTGAGGTATCATGTGGGAGATTCCATTGATGCCTTTCGTTACTGGTGGGTAGGAGGTATGAAGGAGGGGGTGACCCTTTCCTAGTTTCGTCCAAGGCTTTTGCCTATGATAATGTCTGAAATGAAGTTAATTAAAGGGGGTTTATAAATGATGCAATCCCTCGTCGGCTTCCTTCGCAATTGTCATAAATGGTCTGTGAAGTTAGTTAAAGGGGCTAAATTATTTTTTTCCCTTGTGGATATAGGCCTATAGCGAAATCTTTGTATAGTTGACTTATTTAGATTCTGTTGAGAATTGTAATGTACTGAAATAAGCAGCTTATCTCAGTACATTTACCCAAGGCATTGAATTGTTGTTCGCTGTCCCCCCGGGAGGGATGAAAGTGTTTTTTTTCAACTGAGATCATACGTCGTTGGTTTCTGTTTCTTTTCCAAAAGACCGTACCCTTTAGTCAAGCAAAGTTTTGCAAGGTCAGCTGAATTTACACATCTCAGAATTATTTCGATTGATCCTGCGTTTACTGAAACTTGCCCGAAAATGGTGCTTGCAAAGAAGAGCAAAAGCGCAGATGTAGGAATAAGATGGAACGCTTCATTAATTTGTTACACGAATTGACAAATAAGAAATCTGAGATAGATGCTTGGTTTTCACAAAAGAATACGACTGGTCTTTCAAACTATACTATGCAGAGAAAAACGCGTGAGATTCGATGATGATTAAAAGAGAGAAAGCTGATTTAGAATCGCAACGGAAAGGGGTGGGAAGCGGGAAAAAACAAAAGAGAAAATGTTGCAATTTTGCAATGAAAATTCGAAAGGAGGGTGGAATGAGGAAGGAGGAAGCCCCCAATCAGAAAGAGGAACCCGCTTCTCTTTCTTTCTCTGAGCTTACGCGGGTCTTGACCTGTACAGACACGGTTATTTGCTGGTGGGTCCCACAGTTGATTACGTGTCCAAACATTACAAGTTCTCTGACGCATCGTCGTTTGCATGCATGAGTCATCCACTTTCCCCTCCTTACGCCCGAAGTTACTAAGATTATCCAAGACGCCACAAATTATTCTTTCATGGCGTGTCATTTATTTAATTTTTGAGCTTCATCCTTCACAACAATATATCTGTTAGTTACCCCCACTTTATATAACCTCTATGTATTTGTATTTGCCTTCGATAAAAATAAATAAACATCATTTTTATTTATTTTAATTCAAAATTCACTCCCCCCTCTTTAAATGGCGATGCGTGTTTTGCTTAGAGCGACAAACTTTTGGAGTATTGCCTTCCATTGTCGTTCCCGACCAAAGAACGCCGCCACAAGCACTCTCTCTCTCTCTCTCTCTCTCTCTAGGTTTCGTCTTCCTCAAGCTCTTCGCTTGCCCTTTGATAAGCTCGTCAGGTTATAGTTGAGAGTCAGCCATGGCGGACCCAACTCTTATGCAGCAAGATATGCCGGTGGGGTACAAATTCTGCCCGACCGATGAAGAGCTCGTCGGTCATTACCTCCGGCACAAATTGATGGCTGATGATCCCTCCATCCACGATACCATCCCTGAGATTGACGTTTGCAATTTCGAACCCGGGGAATTACCAGGTCTCATAATCCAAACCCTTCATCTTCTTCTTCTACAAACCAATACCTGTTTTACGGTACCATTATTATTTATGCTTCAATCATCTTATGATACTCTGCCGTTTGATCTTGCTTCTTCTTCTTCTTCTTCTTCTTATCCGATCCAACAGCTGTTGTTTCATCGTTTTCGCTGAACAAGTCAGGCGACCCAGAATGGTATTTCTTCAGTCCTCGCAGTTACAAGTACCCAAATAGCAATCGGTGTAATAGGGCAACATCGAGTGGCTACTGGAAAGTAACCGGTCAAGACAGAAGAATCAGGGATCTTGCCACCAACAACGTTACTGGGACCAAGAAGAGTCTAGTTTTTTACCAAGGACGCACTAAAAGTAATTGGGTCATTCATGAATATCAATATTGTGATGACCTTTTTCCTCCAAACCAGGTAAAGCTTCTATTCTTTGTTTGCTTATAGGTACGAGAATACGGAAACTCAACTAATTGGTGACTAAATGTTCAACACCCATTTGCATGTGGGGAACATTGTGTGTATTATCGTTTCTTCCAGATTATATCTAAGTCCGACAAACAAATGCTTGATTATTCTTCCGTGTCGCAGGGAACTTATGTTCTATGTAAGTTAACGAGGAAATCCGAGAAGAAAACAAAAGAAAAGACGGATAAGACAAGGAAGCCAAATGACACTATGGCTTCCGAGTATGGAAATCAAGCAAATGATATGATTCCAGGAGTAAGTAGAAAAATTCTCGAGCTACTGATGTGTATACTGTTCATATATTTCATATACAAGCTCAAGATGTGAAACATAATGAGAACTGATACTTGATGATTGATATATGATTCAGGTACAAATTCCGGAGTCAGGTGACTTTGGAGGCTCACCGCACGAAGTGGGGTCAACCAGTGAGATGCTACTTGATGAACCAGAAGACGCATTTGATGTGGATTCGTTTTTGCTGTGGTCTCTGAGTGAGGATAAGTAAGAGTAACTGGAAGCGCTTACAGTATCAGACATATGCGTCGAGACAATAAAGAAAGAAAACCTACCTATTATGTTTAAGGAGAAAAAATACGATTGTGGTGTGTATCTTTTTGAAGTGTTCTTGGGATTGAGTGTTTGTTTAAACCAGTTTTTCAAATGATTTAGTGCTTGCTGTAATAAAGTTGTGATGTACTCCAGCTGAGTAAATTATGTTTGCATTAATACTACTTTTTTTGGCTAACTATAAGTGCGTTTTACACAAGTTGAGATAAAATTATTCCCACTTACTTATTTTGTATTTCGTAAATCACGATCGAAAATCCACTCATAAACTATTCCAAACAAGTCATCTATAGTATACCAGATGTGGGCTTAGAAAATAAAATATATATACCTTCTAATAAAAATGAATTTTAGCATCTTTAGAAAGATAATCTATCTCAATAAGATTTTCAATTCTTTTAGAAACTTACTAATATATATACCTATCATTTTAGGTGTCCAAAATGACAAGCTTTCCTTAATTATATTAATAATATATATACCTATCATTTTGGGTATTCAAAATGACAAATTTTCCTTACCTATATACCAAAAGGATGATTGATGTTAAAGAGTTGAGAAAATAATATATATACTATCTCAAATTCTAATTATAAAATCTCATTTGTAGACCATAAACAAAAACTACAAACAAAATTTTATAGTTAACGAAAACTACACATGAGATCTTATAATTTTATTTAGAAAAACACCTATCTATTTCCTTTTAAGGATTGGAATAAAAAAAGAATTGAAAAAAGGGGAATAAGTAATTCCAAAACGATAGTTACATTTGATAATCATTTCATGGTTCATGAACCAGCGAAATGATAGAGGTCGGGGAACAAATCCTAGTGGGGAGCATAACAAACCATAATAAAGAAGAGCATCAGAAAAGATGGTAGGGTCCATCCCTAGCCTATAACTCTAAAACTTGGGGAGCAAGTCGTGCCTTTTCTTCATTTTAGGGGGTGTTTGGCAATATGAAAACCATGGTTTCAGAAGTACTTTTCCGCAAAACGAGACAAATTCCTCCACATATTTACTTCGTAAATCGTAAAAGCACTTCTGAAATCATGGTTTGGTTTCTATCCAAACACTCCTTTAGAATACTTGGAATTACAATTGAGTGCATAATCCTGGATGGATATCTGCTAAAGTTATCATCAGATTGAACACTTTATAACCATTTCATTATATGTTGAAAATTAAGATAATGATAATGAAATTATAAACTATGTATTTTCAGAGTTATTATGATTTCACATTCCCTGATGTCACGATAAAACTTGTGCGAGTTTACAATGAAAAAGCTGGCATGAAATAGAGTGAAAATTAAATTTTATGTGAGTTAGAAAAGAACATAGTTTAAAAAAAAAGCAGAGAAAATATACTCAAATATGACACTTTTGTCACCATCCGCGAACGAGGTTAAATATAAAAAAATCCCTCAATATTTAAAACTGTCACCTTGGTGAGCAAGTTTTCTTATTTATTTATATATTTTAAATTTTTAATACACCATTCCAGAGCCTTCAGGAAATAGAGATTCTATGACCGTGATTGGGACTTGTAACGGACTGGGAACAAAGAAAAGAGAGGTGAGGTGGGGTGTAATTGAGGGGAAGACGCCAAAGACCAAAAGATTCTCTTTAGTCTTACGCGGTTTTGTACTTTTTACGTGTCCGAACATTACAGGTCTTCAAACATCATCGTCTACTTATTTTCAACTTAATTGTAATTTATCTCTCCCATTATTTAAGAAGAGGTGCGCTTCTGCTATTAGCTTCAAGAGATAAAGCCCAGTGCTCCCTTGAATCCAAATTGCCAGCTCCGACCACTCTCTCTCTATCTCCTTAGGCATCTTGCCCTTTCCGACGCTGTATTGTTACCAGTGAGACAGCCATGGCGAATTCAGCTCCGACGAAGAGACGTGTGCCGGTGGGATACCGATTCCGTCCGACTGAGAAAGAGCTCGTCGCTCACTACCTCGGCCGCAAATTGAAGGCCCATGATCCTTCCGTTCACGACACCATCCCGGAGATTGATGCCTGCAAGCTCGAACCCGGGGAGATACTAGGTACTTTAATTTAAATTTTTCTTTCAAATTTCTTAGACTTCGTCATCTTTCCTATGCTATGGCGTTTGATTTTGCTTTCTTGTTCTTCTCCAGCGCTTTTGGCGAATAAGTTTGACGATTCGGAGTGCTTTTTCTTCAGTCCCTACAATTATAAGTACTCTAACAGTACCCGGAGGGACAGGAGAACATTGCGTGGCTTCTGGAAAGTTACTGGTAGAGGCAGTAAAATCATAGATCAAGACACTAACAATGTCATTGGGACCAAGAAGAATCTAGTTTTCTATAAAAAGCACGAACCTCGTGCTCAGAAAACTAATTGGGTAATTCATGAATATCATGACGCTACCCTACCAGCACATGAGGTAAAAATTACCTGTTGATTTGCTTCTGAGATTTCTTTATAGATGATCTTAGAAAATAAAGAGTATATATTGTGTTTCTGTTGATTTTGTGCTATGGTCATTCAATTAATATTGGGGTTTTTTCAGGTCTAACGTTTAGAGTAAATAGCATGACTATCATTGGTTTTATATTACTCTTTTAATGTCTCTCGTTGCTTGGTAACTGATATTTATTATTGGTAGATGGTGATCTCGTCCATGCTCATTAGTATGTCATTTGGTGTAATTTTTTTTTTCAATCAAAATTATCAATACTATCACTTCTAATTTTATGCTCCAACTTACAGAGGACTCATGCTTTATGCTGGTTAAAAAAGAACAACGAGAAGAAAACAAAAGAAAAAACTTATCACTTAGTTGATGATAAGGGGAAGTCAAGTAATATGATACTTGAAGATAAAAATCAGGTAAATATGTCTATGAATTCAAGAGTAAGTAAAGGAATTCGTAAAGTTTACAAGGCGTATGTGAGATAGCAAATGAACTAATATTTGGTTGTTATGTTTTTCAGGAATGTTGTTTCTCTGATTTGAGTTCAAATACTCAAGGATCTTCCCAGTCAAATGAAGCTATAAGTTTGTTCACACAAACACCTTCCCAATCAAATGAAGCTATGGACTCAATAATTCAGATGATTTCCCAATCAAATGAAGCAGAAGATCTATCGATTCAAACATTTTTTCACTCAAATGAAGTTATGAACCTAGAGGTTCAAATACCTTCCCAATCAATTGAATCTGAATCTATAGATTCAATGATTCAAACACTCTTTCAATCGGATGAAAATATAAACTTAATGGTTTATGCACCATTTATGCCAAATTCTAGCATTGAACTACCACTTGATGCATGAGAATTTGACATCAACTTACTCTTGCTGTGGTCTCCAAGCTTGGATGAGCAAGAGTTACTTAGAATGATGGCGATATCTGGTCTGCGCTGATGGAAAGCGTAGAAAGCTATCAATAATTTAAAGTAGTGTGATGTATCTGCTTTTGTTTTTTTGTTTTTTGTTTGGTTCCAGTCGGTTTTGTAAATTATGATGTTCTAATAAGTTAGCAAGAGAATTGCTCTGTATCATCTTTCTCGTGTTCTATGGCTTGTAGTGGACCAGGGACTATTTACCTGTACCCTTGATCCTTCGGTTTTACATAATGCCATTTTGCCATGCCAAAAACGATTGTTATTTTGCCATGATCAACAGCAGTTTCTTCGCTATAGATATAGGATATTAGATATAACCCCAAAAAAAATGCCTTTATTTTTAAATAAAAATTAAAAAAATTAACATTGCTAAATAACGATGACAAATCAACATCTTAATAACAGTGTACCTCACTTTGTGCATCCAAAATGAGTTTGTTTTCATATGCTCAATTGGTCATTGATATTATGGTGTTGAATTGTGTAAAAGAACTCTGTTTTTTCGGTTGAAAAATTTGATAAAAAAATTAATTTGAGAAATGATGGAAACTAAAATCAAGGTTTGCGGCAAATATTGTCTTCAAAAGCATTATGAGTAATATGTTCATTGCTCAACAAGTAAAATTACTTACATGCATGTTATATCTTATAAAAAAGAAAGAAAAAAAATAAATCTATCTTAAAATAAATCGAGATGATGGTATTCCATTTGCATCTTGTCTGTAGATTTAACTTTTCAACATCGTTGTATCGGCAGTAGCTAATAAATTTGGTCTACAGGTTTTACTTACAGGACCTATCATTTGTTTTAAAATAGAAAATGGGACCATTTTGAAAAACCATAAAAAATATTTATTGAATTTCAAAATAATAAATTTTATATATCTTGACATATTAAAACTATTACAAAAATAGTTAGTACAGTTTATTTGTCTTTTTAAAATTTAAGATGTACTTTGTTGATCATTTTTCTAATATTTTTATTACTAAAATATTCTTTTTATGTGTGGTAGTATAAGTGTTTTTTATTTTTCTATTTTTGAATGTGAACACAACAATAAGACATCAAGCCGTGGGATTAATAACCATACAAAAGTTTTGGCCAAAAAAATAACCATACAGGAAAAAGAAAAAGAAAAAGAAAGAGCTACAGAAACGGCCTCAAAAGTCAAGAGGATGAAAGGAAAACTTGGGCAGCACGCAGGGTCTTTCTTTGGATAAATCTTCGGGATCTCTTTGCAATCCAAGTGAAAGTTACGTGTTGAATATAGAGGAGAGACGAAGAATTAGCGAAAAGGAATATATAAAAAAGACGGTGGAATCAATACTTGGAAAAGCTAAAAGTTGGGTAAAAAGTATTGTTATTTCATTAAAAAAATATTTTTCTCATTTAAATAGATTAAGTATACTAGTTAAATTAGTTAATATGACTTTTTTTTCTTAAAATACCGTAAGTATCTTTTTTAATTCTCTCCTCCTTTCTTCTACTTGATTATTATTAGAAAAATATTAATAGGATTAATTTTAAAAAAATTAGTAAACATATGAAATATGTCTTACATATATAACTAACATTTACTTTCCAATTAGGTCATATATTAAGAAAAGAGGAGTACTTCTTTAACCCCTTCCATGAGGTGAAACTTGAGAAAGTACATTTTTTCCTAATTTCATTAAATTTTCGGCATGAATGTATATGTTTTTTCTTAATTTATATTTTCTATAAAATATTTT